GGGTTTAATTCCAAATTACAAATACTTATGTGTCAATTTGCTCATATTATATAGTGTCTACTACCTACTAAGTCTTTTTTACGTCTCATTAATCCATACAGATCATTAGCCTTTGTGATCGTTTTCTGCTGTGTGACCAATGAGCTCAGTCCATGCTGCTTCAGTCCTTGTCTTGTTTCTTCTCTTGCATCTCTCTGATTCTCGTCACATCGACAATGCTCACATCACAAATTCTCGGTCTTCGCATGTCAAGGTTCGATCCACATTTCATTTCATCAGCTCTTAATTTACTTTCATATTCTTCGTATTAGTGGAATCTGTTTTTCACCTTCTCAAAGCTAAGGCTTCTTTTTAATTGTTTTTCTTTTGTTTAGGATCAGAATCTCATATCTGGCTCGACATCTAAAGAGCCGCCGGTTAGCGTTTCTCGGTTTGTGCCGGGTGCAGTGAAGCACCGCCATCGTCGGCCGCCACTCTTCTTTGCTGATTATCCGAAGCCGTCCACTCGGCCTCCACGTCATAACTGAGATCTCTCTCTTTAGTTTTTCACCTTTAGAGTTTTTTTTTTTTGGTATGTGAGAGAGTAAATAGGTCCTTATAAGTTTTCTTGATATAATTCCAAATGCGGTATTTTTTTTTTCTTTTTTGGAGTATAGGTTCATGTTTTTCATGTTTCCCAGCTGACAAAATCAATAATTTTTTAGCTACTGGCTCATTTACAATCTTGAGATTACAGAACTTTGGAATTCTATAATCCACGGTAAACATTTCACGGATTTGTTCGTACGATTGTTAACTCTTCCATGTTTTTGTTAACCAAGAATTCTGCCTTAAATTAGTATAAAAAGGTAAAAAACAACTATTAATTAGTTGTCCACTCAATGTTTCCCCAAATTCCATCATCGTTGTCTTTCAAGTTCATTCCCGCACACCAAATATATTTGTATTAAGCAAAGCCAAAATCAATCCCATAAGATTAAGAGTTTTTCATGGTACTTAGCTATTTCAATCACACCACAATGTGATATTCATTCAACATATTCAAACCTCTAACTACAATTAGTTGTTATTGACAAACAAAACAATTATTAGTTGTAAAAGGTACAAAACAACTATTAGT